GCTTGCACTTCATACCTGCAGTTGGTTACCCCCCCTACTGAATGACAGGGTCTATGAAAGAAGAACTGTATCTTTATGGATAATCTGAAATACACCCAGACAGCTTCACCTAAGGATCTATTTAACACTCATGAGTAAAAACAAAAATAAATATATGGTGTGTTAATACTACTCACCTTTATGTTACAATAGTGGTATTATCACTTTCATGACATGGCCTTCATACTGCCATGGTCTACAGTAGATAGTGGCAGTTGGGGTTAGGTCAAATCTAGCTAGTGAGAGTAAAGTTAGAGAGAAGGTGACATGTAAAGGATTGAAGGCATGGGCTGGAATTTGGCTGCAACAGTCCCAGCAAGAAATACTTGTCTGCTGGTTTGCCTCTGCACTTATTCTAATATGGCAACTTTGGTGCTTGGCAGGCATCTACCTTTGCAATTCCCTTTGCTTTACCAAGAATGTGTTACCTATGAAATGTCTACTGTTTTCATAAGTACATATATGAGAGTATATGCTATGTACTCACAGCTAAAAATTATCCCTTCCTCCATAACATCTCTTTTTTACATGCAGGATCTTAACCAAACCTGCTTATTTGGGCAACCATCAGCTATCAGTTGATAAAGTCACCTCTCCATGACATATCTACATTAATTTTAAAACCTCCAAAACCACATGACAGCTCATGTGCATATTATAATTGAACAGCAGAATCAACCCCAGGCAGTCAGCTATTCCCTTTTCCGCTTCCACAAATGTGAAGCTGTAAATTTAATTACACAGACATAAAGAAAAGCTGTGGTCAGGCAATGGACATTAAAGCATTTCCATATTCCTAAAAAGAACTTTAAAAGAAGCTATCACTTACCTCTGTGGCTGCAGGTGCTGTGGAGTAATGTATACTAAATGTACACAAAAGAGATTCTGAAGTCCAGCAGCACCTGCTGTTTGTTTATATTGCACGTCTGTCAGGCTGTCAAGTCCCTGCATGGGAAGATGTGCTGTAACATCACTGCCACTGTTGTGAATGTAGAGGTTGAACTTCCCACAGTGCTGGCAGTTAAAGCCCATTGCTTGTTAAATTATGTAAATATTTGAATGCCCACAGCCTGGCCACAGGTTCACTTTAAAGCCCAATTTAGATTACAGAAATAGATTTACAGTCAGGCAAACATTAAACTAACAGCCTCCATTTTCATAGCTTCCTTAATCTAAATTGATGAGCTGTAAAAGCCTGTGTTGCCTATTGATAATGTTAGGTATTGTAATTCTCCACAATTTAACACACATAATTTTGAAACCTGACACATTTGGTATCTATATACTCTACACTATATATCATTTACTTTGTACAAATAAACGTGTGCTTGTGTGCAGTAAAATTATTTTAATGCATTTTTTTCCTGAAAATATAGACTTGAGGGAGTTTAAGTAATTTAAAGCCAGAAATGCAGATTTTAAATTGTGCAAAAAATGAAAAAAAAAATGCTCTAAAGTAGAAGGGGTTAATTTCCAATAGGCACCAGTGTTAGATCCAGTGCTCATAACAATCCTCCATCTGTAACAGACCTGGTTGAACACCCCCTCTTTTCTTTTGCACTACAAGTTTTTGTAAGGATACGTGTGCTAAGGGGGAGTGGCTGTTACTTAGCTATGCTAGGAAAGAGCACTGTAGTTGAAGGACACTAAAACAGCATCATTTCTATAAGAAAATGGAATGTTAAGGCACTATCAAGCACGAATCAGTCAAAATTCAAACAATTTGGGGCAGAGGAATGTAATGACATAAAACAGTGAGACTTCAATTGGGCTTTCTACAGTTTCACCTGCCTCCCTATGTTATTTCTATTGTTATCACTAATCTGAATGACAGCAGCCTGTCTACTGTGGCCCACTCATTACATCTATCAATAGAAACCTGTCAGCGTGGGCTTTTTTTTATATAGACTCAATCAGGGGCGGACTGACCATTCGAGCACTCGAGCACTGCCCGAGGGCCCGGGGTCAGTAGGGGGCCCCATGAGATGCCCCTGGTACCTTTAATAGGCTTTTTTGGGTGTAGTTTGAGTGTGGGCAAGGACACAGGGGCCCCATGATTCCCTATTGCCCAGGGGCCCCATGAGTTGTCAGTCCGCACCTGGACGCAATCTGCCAGTGGTTGATAAGCTAAATGAAACCTCCTCATTATTCTTTTGCAGGTGGTATTGCAATGGATGTGCAGTATACAAGTAGGTTGCTATATTGTGTGGGCAATGACTGCATCATGCTCTGAAGAGCTGGTGTTATGTGCTCTGGTCAGATACAGCAGAAACATATCAGCTTCCACCAAAGGAGTAAGAGGTGATTGAGGGAGACTGCAACTGCAACAGCTTTTCTGTAAGTCATCTTTTATGCTGGAATTAAATGGCTCAGAATGATGAGTTATCTCCAACAGGCTCATGTTTTAGACCAGGGGTCTCCAAACTATGGCCCTCCAGCTGTTGAAGTACTACAAGTCCCATCATGCTTCCGACTCTGAGAGTCTTGCCTGTGGCTGTCACAATATTGCAAGGCCTCATAGGACTTGCAGTACCTTAACACCT